GATTTTAAAAATCATTAAATGAAGAGGCTGAATAATAATCACCAGTTAAAACTTTCCAATCAATTCGGTAAAGCCTAATTTTATAATGCGTTTTAAATTTCGATAATTTATAACGCTACACGGAAACAAACGTGATGTTGTATCAACAAGATCAATGAATTGAAATAAAATCGTTAAAACAACATCAGTATTAATAAATGAGAAACATCAGATAGTTGTCTTAATGATCTGGATATTTAGTTTAATGCTTAAAATTAAAATCCATAGCAAATATAATTGAGTGAATTATTTATGTTTGCGGCAGCCCGTGACGTTAACATTTAATTCAAGCGACTTCATTTTTTTAATTCAACAGCATTTTGTTCCGTGTAGTATAAAATAAATTGCGCCATGGTGGAGTATGCACTCACTGAGGAATAATTAATTTTACGCCATAAATAGAATATATCGTAAATCGATCAATATGTCATAAATCAGAAGAAGAGTGAGCATAATACCAAATAGTTTATTTTTGATATTTATTTTTAAAACAAACATATATCTTGAATTTTGAAAAATGATTAAACTCGAAGTGCCGTGATCAAGTGTTTTTGTGAAGAATGGCTTAGCAAAAAATATTTACACTGCATAAATATTTATATTGCAATATGAAATGTTTAAACTGCAAAATGAGTGCCATTAAATAAGTTCTTCTTGATAAGTAGATGCGTTCAGAGATCCATGAAAAATAAACTATTCGATGGAACGAGTTACAGCTTTACACGTATTCATAGAAGGGTTGCAACTTTCCATTTAACGTATCACGTCTGTTGTGCGAGTGTACTTTATTCCGAAAACTTCTCAAATGGCTGTCGTAGTGCACTTTGAATATTTCTATTTTTGTCGTTGACATCAGATGCGCAATAGAATATTAACGTGTCGTAGGAGAAGGTAATATGTGCCAAGGTAACACGTTGGTTAAAAGGAATAATGTTAGGTTTGTTACACCAGGTCGAGATTCTTACGTTAACGTAATAACCAATAAAGAATTTCTCGTCAGCTTTCTGAAGGGAGTCGCAATTTCATTTAAATACGCCTGTGGAATGCAATTTGGTTTAAATGCATTATAGGACGTTTCCACTTGATGGTAATTATTTTCTTTTACTTGACAACGAGAAAACGAGGTCGGGCTGTCAGCGGATTTACCTTGCATACACCGGAATTACCGCGAGGAAAATAATTTCAAAGGTCATCGCGATTTGGAACTTTTCATTCCTTTCAATGTTTAATGCAGACAGATACAGGTGGAGGTGGATAAATAGACAGTCAGATAGATAGATAGAGGTAGAGAGAGCCCCCTCAGGGGACGCAATTTAAAAAATTTCGTATGTGCCGAAGAATAACAAGGTTTCTACTTCTTTATCTCTAGACTAAACTAATGTTTGATTCGCGCCCATCGGACCTTAACACACGGGTACACGGCGAATCAATTTGATCACGCATTTGTTACGCGCGGCAGTAATAACTTTTGCGGACGTTCAATCGCGTGCGTCAGGCCGGCATGTTAATGCCGAATTGATCATCATTACCGCTTGACGGATACAACGCAAGACGTTGAAATTTATAACAGCGGCGATGCGCGTCGCGCAAAATATACGTCAGTACGAAACACAGGCGAAGAATTCAACTCGAAGACTGGAACATTGTGACTCAAAGAATATTACAGTTATGTATTCCGTAACACTGAAAAATGTTTGGGACGTGGTCTTCCGGGGTTTATCATCAATCTTGATTTCCGCACAGGGAGAGATGTACGAACGTGTAACACGCATCTTTACAATTGTAATGTCACATTGAATTTGCAGCACGATATCATTTCGTAATCATGTACAACACGCAAAGCTGTAGAATACCGTGACATTTTGAGACACCGCTTATTCTCTGTTAAGTCCAATCGATCTATAGTGTGTACTGTATTTTGATGAGAAAAATATAAAAAACTTTTTGTTACAAACACTTTACGGTTATAAAAAGAATTTAGAAGGCATATCAGCTCAGCTACAAATGTGCTAAGTTTACGAAAGGCGAATATTATTCCAAATGCTATATATAGTACACGGTGTAAAACACGAGATATTACGTGTGTTTAGTAGCTTTTTATTACATCTTTTTTTATATTCTTGTCACTGTTTGACGTTTGATACTTTAACGTAGCATACGCATTGATGGCCATTAATTAGCTACGTATTAGCGTAATGTCGGCGTCATCAAAAACGAAACAATAATTACGTTAATTATCTTGAAATTAATTACAACGAAGTCACGTTCCGCGAAATCTAAAATAAGACGGGATTATATTACAACTTTGAACTGAAAATATCCCAACAAATAAGGACGAAAGCGAAAGAAACAGTCTGTAATAAACTTTACAGGGTAAATTAAAGCGCTAGAGTAGATGGCGATAGAGATGTTATGTGCAGAACAAAAAAATAAGCAGTAATAGTACTCGTGACACACGATATCGACAAAATTAGAACGGCAGTTAATTAACGTTGGTGCGTTCGCACGCATTGGTTCTTCAGTTAAATTTGCATTCGATTGCTCACGAGATGACAAGCATTATCAAATACCATTAATTACACATTTGTCAAGATTCCCTGCCGAACATTGTTGTGCACACGCCTCGGATAGTTAAATATCGAATAATTAAATCCAGTTGAAAATATTATGGCGATTACAATTTTACAATGGACATTGTCCCATCTAGAGGTACTTTAGTCGTGCATAAAGAGACCCAGCGAAACGTGTGAGATGGTCTCTTTATCACCCTCGCAATATTTCCCGCATACTTTAACATTAATCACGGCAATTACCAATAATTCGAGCGAGTTCGATTAAGAAAAAAACTCAAATTTTTTTCGCTTGATAAGAAATGTCCATTTCGAACCGGATGGTATCAAAGAGAAATCAGACTTCTAGAGGTCATTACAATATCATAAAATATATGCGAAAAATAATGATAAGCGGGTCACAATGTAAAAACATATTGGATATCGTAGATAATTTATGTTAATACGACAATATAAGAAAAAAAAGTCTTGTTTAAATGGCTGACGCTTTTATGTTAGCAACTTCGATCTTGACTTCGTACATTGCCTCATGTAAGAAAGTCATAGGAGAGTTACGCTACGAGATCACAGAACGTAGCAACGTAAAACTAAATTCTCTCGATGCTTTTAACATTTGCTATTTTCTTCTTGCTGATGAAGAGACCTGGACACTCATTTGGAGAGTATTCGAGCACACTTCTAATATACAGGGTGTCGGATTCGATTTGGACCACTCCAAAGATTATAACAGATTGGGTCAAACTGAGAAGAAAAGTTATATACCATTTTACAAAATCCGTAATTATTATCGCGTAATTAAAAAAAACGTCTGAGCCAATAAGTGCACGGAGGAGCTGAAGGCCGGACTCGGCAGACATGCAAAATGGTGTATTATTCTCCTACCACCAGAAAAAACTTTTTCGGCGCGGTGTCATATGTCGCGCGTTCGCTCGCTGCGCGACGTTCGCCCGCTCATCGCTCCCCGCTCGCCGCCGTCTCTCATCGATCGATGCGTGACTCCACCTCTCGCTATCGGATCTTGAGAGATGTCAATAGATACACCATTTTGCATATCTGCCGAGTCCGGCCTTCCGCTCCTCCGTGCACTTATTGGCTCAGACGTTTTTCTTAATTACGCGATAATAATTACGGATTTTGTAAAATGGTATATAACTTTTTTTCTCAGTTTAATCCAATCTACTATAATCTTTGGAGTGGTCCAAATCGAATCCGACACCCTGTATAGTATCACGCAGTAAAGTAACACAATATTTGTGAAAATGAAACTATTGTGTGAATAAGTTATTTATGCACAGTTTTCACATGTAATATTTAGTTATTTTACATTTGTTACGCATGGAACGATTCCATTTTTTATACTTTCATAATGAGAATACATCGTCTGTAATAGTTTTCAGCACTCAGTGAATTTCCCCATGGAAAAAATATATTTTAACATGTATAATAGATAAAAATATATTTAATGTACTTTATATATTTGGTATCTAGAAATTTTATTTAAAATAATATATAATGTTATATATGTCAAAATTATAATAAAAATTATGTAAAATACACGGACTTATATAAATTACATATTTATAATATGAATGTAACATATTTGTTTATATATTTATATTATATTGTTTATATATTTATATCATTTTGTGCCAATGAGCATTATATTAACAGTGATACGGTATATTTCTTCGGTAATCGAGAAATTGATGTAATTCTCATTTCTTCCGCAATTACGAATCTCCGTTATATACACAGGACGTCTAACGTAAGTAAATGCAAAATATGTAAAAGGATATATTCTTGACTTTATGAAGAAAATATCCTGTGAACGTAAAGTACTTTGTATTTCAAAAAAGTACAGGGTATGAAATTTGAGAAAAGGGAAATAAAAATTTCGCAAATCTAAGGGAACGCTTACAGATATTTTGTTCAAATTGTGTGTGCATGTATTAAGAACCATTTTCTAATACCGATGAAATATTTTTAGATAAAAAGGTGAAGCTATTTATACTTTTAATTAAAAATTTTTAATTTTACTCGAAAACGGCAGACCGCATCAAAAAACACAAGAGGCAGTTCTTGTGGGGTTTAAATTGCAGTGAAGTTTTGATTGCAAAAGTGATCTCTCCGTAACGCTATTAAATTATCAAGATCTGCATATCGTGACACGCTCGCAACTACCCGTTCGAAATTTCCTTGGACTCTACCTTAAAGCGCTCTTTACGGCACGCGCGATTCTCTCCTGTGCTGCGCTAGTCCAAGACCTACATATCCGTCAATCTCCGCGTTCGGGATTATCGCGAAAGTTCACAAGTGATAACAATGTCGTGATCACCGCCACCACCACCTGGAAGATATCACCTCCACCCACGGACACCCCGCGTTTATATACCCGGCGTGCACCGCTGATATCCGACTGCGCCACTCCGGCTTCCGTTCCTGTAAAAGGGGGAACGCGCGCCGCCGCCATCGTTCATTCACAACCACCTGCTCGACGGGGTAGCATCGTTTCGGTGCCATCTGTCATCCGCGCAAGCAGAAGCACAGTCGAGCCAGCCGCCGTCTTCTCGGCCCTCCTCCACCCTCGCAGCAGCGCGCCGTTGACGACCTTGACAGGATGAAAAGCAACGCGACTTCCGGTCCCACTTTCTCGCTCTACCTCTCGATCGCTCTGCTCGTGATCTTAGTTTCTATCAGCGATAAGACGCACGCTAAACGTAAGTGACTTCTCGATCACATACGTTAATTCGTGTATTTCATTGTAGCTTTCGCAAATGACTGGGGTTCGCCAAAGGCGCAATGTCATAATGTGTTAATAATTCTAAACTATTTCGCAACAAGTGGTACAAGAACCGTTATGAAATTTAATTGTCTCGACATTTGTACATCAATTACGTACAGCGATAAATGTAATTTTTTTACACTTTCATTAACCCGATAACAGTTGCCCGCCGAATAATTAGTGATGACATTTTAATGCGTGGGAACAATTAATTTTTTTCCCGTTAATTCAGTGTTTTCGAACGATAAGAGTGAAATTTAACTTTTGTATATTCATTCTGTGCTTTTTATAATATATAGATAATGCTGTAATATAAAGGTTTCAAACAATTACAAATTTATCGGAATCAAATCTCGTTTTAAAGACCTTTGCGTATTAAATTTTAACAGTAAAAATATGCAAACAGTAGAATTTAAATATTCATTTAATTATAAGCAATTTTAGCAAAACATTAACATTAAATACGTACCACAGAAATAACGTATTAAACTTTTAAAGTTAATCAAAAACAAAATAAGGTTTTTTAATACATGTTCACGGTTTTCTTGAGTTAATCAACTTGCCGTCTTAAAGTCTTAAAAACTTTAAGATACATGTTGAGTTTGTTTTTCATTAATTAATGTTTTTGTAACTTGACCCGTAAAAGTAGTTTCCGCTTGCGCATATTGCATGGAAAGTTGGTCCCATGGTTACTTGTGAAACGCATCTTTAAAGGAGATAAGAAACGATGACTCACAATTAAAATTTTGATTCTTGATTACGTTGTTCTGATTTGACCGCTTGATTTAAGCTTTAATTGTTTCACGCGATAGTTTTTACGAAAATTTTCATTCCATTATTTATATTGTTTCATATTATTCATTATTTTTATATTAATATATGTTATATTTGTTTTATACTTGTTGAGTTATAAAGGAAAGTCCTCTATTATGAGACAAGATCCTAATATAGGATAGCGGCATTTCTGAATAGGCATCATCAGTTGATTTCACCACGAGTTTATTGCCTTTGGAGCGAAATCTGTTTAGTGGAAAATTCATTGTTAGATTAATCGTGTGGTGGAGTGTAATCGTTGGGAAAAAAGATTTGTGACTGAATTTGGGTGTTGAAAACCTGCTATTTTATATTAGAAGCTTATCTCATAATAGAAGACTTTCCTTTTTTAATTAAGTTCGAATCATGATGTCCGCGAAATTATTGCGGTAGCGGTAATGCGGTAACTGTTTCATCACAGTCCTTCCCCTTTTCGGAAAATGAGAATAAGTCTGAACTCACATTCTTTTACAAACATTTCAAGTACCTCGCACGAGTGCTAATTAAAAATTTGTTTATCTGTCACGTATATATGACACAGGCAATTTAAAAAAGTTTAATTCAAATTGTATCGTATTAAGGAAACTGGAAACAAGTTTAACATAGTAAATTTTAATTAAGCAAATTTTTTAAACAATCTGGTGCTCGAATAAATATTTTTTGCAATTTCTAAAATTCACATATTCATAACAGACATATATTTTTTAAGGAAATTTATCATACTTTCCGTTATTGTTTTCTGTGCTGTGTATATGGCTTTGCACGACGATCTATATTTCTATAATACATAGAAGAAGATATATTAATAATGGTGTATTATCCTAGCCCCGATTTGGATAGCTATGAATTATAAAGCGCGAGGAAAATGTTCTTTTGCGACGTCAGAAAAGTGTTGCGTCACCAAAAGAATAAATAGTCAATCAATAGTCGAGCAAGCGCAAATAGATCGAAAATGTCAAAAAAGTGTGTTTGTTACGCGTGTTTACGAATAGCTCTATTTTTCAGCTTTGTTCTTTCGCAGAAAACTATAATTTAAACAACGCTTTGATATTTCACGTATCGCCATCAAATTTTTTCGTCGGTCTGACATTCGACTGGTCGTTTCCACTTCCCGTGGAGTCGAAACGGATTTACGCGGACAACTTACGGAGGGCATTGAAAACGTAATTTCTCGGAGACCGTAGCATGTACGTCAGTTCTGTTCTTTTTCTGCCATAACCACATCACACGCGATAGATCGTGCGAAATATCAAGCACTTTGATTTATTGCGCACGCGAAAAATTTTTCGACCAATTCGCGCGTTTAAAGCGGTGAGAAGAAACGTCGGGGGGTCGCGGGAATAAATCGAGAGATCGAGCATTGTGATCCAATTATTTCTATCTGCTTTTGATCTTGTCTGTCTTACTTTGTAACAAATTCCGAGTCGAAATTTTGGTACTATTTTGACACTTTTAAGAATAATTTACACTTACTTAGCTGATCTATGCACCTACATAAACCAATAATAACCTACTTTGATGACATTATATTTTTTTACTTCTCCCTTGAATCTTTAATTACTTAAAAATTTACTTTAGCTCCTACTTAAAAGGACTTACTTTAATGCTAAACTGGCAAAAGTAGAAATTTCTGATACTGTCAGTTTTAAAGTAGGAGTAAAATTGTACTTGCGGTTCGACCTTTTTTACTGTCTTAGGTCCTACTATATAATAGAATTAAAGGTTCAACATAGCCAAAATTTCGACTCGAGTTGTTTAAACAAAACGTCATGATTTGTTTATCATGTTTTAAATATAATAATATAAACATCATCTAATTATATTAAAAATAATAAAACAACGTAAGATTTGAATATTTAAAAATCGTAAAATTAAATCTTTATAAAATCATTTTAAATACTGGATATAAAAACTAATACTGAGCAATATTATGAAACAAACTGTGAACGTGATTAGATTAGCGACATCAATCGTTCTATTTCCGTCCCTGGAAACTGTAACAATGCGCAATGTAAAGTTAAGGTAGTTACATCGTAGATTTGACGACTGCATACGTCCGCTCAACTTCTATTTGGGTCTCGGCGCGAGCAATAGATTATTTCTGCGATGCTGTCGCGAAGTTTCGCTATTCTACGCAAAACTCGCGTAAAAGCGAATTATCGTTGCTCCGTTGCAATGTCAAATCCGTTAACTTTCGCGGCTACGAAATGTTACAATAGCATTCACGGTTCCGTATGACGCGGTTATCAATCCTTACGTGGGCTAGAAAATGGTACGAGCGCGAGCATAGAAATTATCGAGGACAAACTGTGCGTAATGACCGATGGAAATCAAACTGTCGATTAATTTCGATGTCCTTTGGAATTATACAACTGCAATTTTAGAATAAGCGCTAATTGTCGCATAAAAAATTCTTTCGTATCCAGAAACTTTAGCGGATTAAATATGCTGCTAATTTTATACACTGTCGAATTAATAAATATCTTGTCTGCTGAATCTCTTACAGGGATCCAATAACGCTCTGGTTATGCATGTCGAAAATTAATAACTCGATTGAACCACATCATGCGGTGTTAAAAGCCGTGTTGGTGGATAAAATCGCATCGTAGTTAGCATCTAATGAAGCGGCTTAGGCGTATTGTGTAACAGGCAAATATTGCGTATATTATTAACGGTCGTGCATCTAATAGCCCTTATTAGAGCTGTTGCTTCCAATTCGTTTCGCATCGATCGTTTGGCTGTCCATATTTATCGCAAATATCAATTTCAATCTTGATGCATTTAATTTTAAGCATTGTTATTACAATGTACAGAGCTTTATCCTTCAATGGTCATAAACGTTCCATGGAAACGTAAAAGTGGATTTGACAAGCGCGCTTTCGCACGCGTACTTTCGATCGGTCAATCGGCATAATCGACGCCGTTGAAATGCTTCGAGTAAAACAGTTAGCATTTAACTTAGCGGGTCTTATTAGATTATTTGCAGCCGCAACATCGTTACGACCACCGTCGGGAAGCAGCTCGAGGATTTATGAGCGACACGGCAGAACTTTATTTTTGAAAAATTTTATTTCTCAAAGAAAAGTCATCTTATTGTTATCATTATCTCCCTACGTTTTTTCAAATTACTTTTCCTTGTTATTGATCTACGTTGTCTTGATTGATCTCGCGAATATCTTCATTTCGCAAGTAACGATAAATATTACGCCGATACCTATTGAAATTTTGAGATAGGAAATGCGTCAAAACGCGCGTGTGAAAGTATGTTCAAAAATTACGTTATTTCTTTTTGTGTGCGATGTTCTTTGATCAGGTTTCGGGGGTTTGCGGCTTGCAAACTGCACTAATTAACAAGAACACGAGGAACAAAATACATGCGCTATAGTGGTACGAATCCTATAACGACGTGTTACACATACACTATCGTCGAAGTATATGCGAAATGATGAAAATAGAAATATGTACGCGTTTACGTTCGCCAAAGGTACTGACCTGGAAGCCATACAAATTCTTATTCAAAATTCTCGCAACTTGTGCGAAAATCAGAAGTGCAATATGGTGCAAATGCGCGACGGCATGTACATAAGAGACCAAGAAAGATTTGAGATTTTCAAGCACTTTTCCATTTTTCTGAAACACAAAGTCCTCGTACAATGCAGAAAGAAACGAAAACTGGCTGCACGGTTAGTTTTGATTGCGCTGGCCTCGAAGATATGATTGCAAAGAGGCCAAGGTATGTCGAGAGTGCAGTTTTTAAAAAAAATTTCCAAACTTTGGTCTCTTTCTCACATTCTCATACAGTCTCTTTGTTTTTAATGATAAAATATATTCCAACTATCTCGACTTACGCATGCAATGACGATAATAAACTGACAAAAGACGTGGTGCGTAAAATATAAAGATAATACGAAAAAAGAGATAACATAGAAAAAAAATCTGGAAGTGATACAACGAGATCAATTTATTCAGCTGTTCGCAAAACTACTGCACAGCCAAAGTCTATTTGCTTAGTTTTTAATTTGTAGTTTATATTCCATTAAATTATACACACCATTATATTGCAATTATACAAAGAGTTGTAAGATGCCTGCGATATATTTTCTTATTAGGGGGTTACAGAGA